GCGGCCAGAGAATCTTCATGGTGAGAATCTCCGACACTCCTACTCCCAATCTTCCCATGTGTGTGCCACTGAAACCTCCAGTGCTGCCCACGCCCAGGAGGACCCGCAGGACCTGGTCTGGACTGAGCCCAGCCCCCTTCCCCAGCCAGGCCCACTGCCCGGGGCCGTTTCCCTCCATTCAAGCCCTGCTCTCCGGACTCTACACAGAGCCAGCAACTCCTCTGCCTTCAGAGTGCAATTCAGTGTCTGTCCTCACAGGGGCTTCCCTGACTGGAGGACCCGCTCCAGCCTTATCTCCCAGGGCGTCTGCTCTCTTCCTTGTAGGATGTGCAGCACGGGCCACCTGCCTGCTCCTGTGTGTTGCTGGTGTCTCGCCTGCCTCTCCCGCCAGCCTGTAGCTCTGAGAGAGAAGGGGCGTGTCTGTCTGTTCGTCACCTAACACAGGATCCGGCACACAGCAGGTGTTCAAAGAAAAAGGAAGGAAAGAATATTCCTCCTCCTTTCCCCAAGTATTGTCCAACCAGCCCAGAATAAGGAGTGTGAGGTTAAAACATCAAACAAATGGGAAGAAAAAGAATTCTTCCCCATCTGTTTGAAATACCACGTATGTTTTGAAGTGCTTCTGGAACTGACCCGTTACAACTCCACATATTTTATTGAAAGTACCTGAGGTAAGACCCCCGGGAAGTGTTCTGGGTTAGCATCTGCTTTCTGAGGAGCTGGTAAGACTGGTGGATTTGCTGGTCTCATCGTCTGCTCTTCCACTGACCTGCCATTCGGGGCTAAACAAGAGAATCTCATGCATCTCAAATACGCCACGAGGCCTAGAGGAGAGGCATGGTGGGCCGTAGATACGTCTAGACAGGTGTGATTCCTTATAAGAGGACATCAGGAGACCTCAGAAGTCATTTAAGTGATTCAAGAATGGCCAAAGAGAATGAAAGCTTTTAAAAGCACTTGGCAGTTTTGTCCACATCCCCAAGCCACAACCCAAAATACTGGGCCTTAATGTTCCATTCCAGGAAGTACAAATGGTGGCAAACAAGCCGTCTACTTGAGCGACCTGGGGCAGCTCTTTAGCTTTCCTCCTAAAGAAGCGATCTTAGAGAAATTCAGGATTCTTACATCCTCAGCAGAACTCTGCCCAGTCCTTTCCAAACACACGGAAACACGTGCTATGAAATTCATGGAATGCCAATGGAAATTCATGGAAGGCTGAGCATTCAACCTTGGGACTGGATTTCTCTGTAGACGCAGAGGAGGGAGGCGCCAGGACTGACACCAGACCCGTAGGAAGCATCAGACAGTGCCAGTTAACATCCACGTCCTAGCTAGGTGGTTACAACAGGACGCTTCCTTCTAGCTGGATTTCTGCCAATCCGCTGACATTTACGCCTCCTGGAGGCAGTTAAGATAGACTGCAAGACGTCCTGCCTGTCAACCCTCAACGACCCGCACCCATCATGTTACGCCACACGAGTAGCTGATACCTTTCCACGGGTCAGCCACGCTGATGTAGGACAGGAGCCCGCAGAGCACCAGAAACGCGAGGAGGAAGAGGATCACGTTCCGCTGTAATCTCGACAGTTGCTTCCATTTCTGAGGGAGGGACAGAGAATGACACTTTTTACTGAAAATAACGCAACTGGAAATCTCTCCAGCTGCTACAGACTCAGCGAGGAGGATGAGCAATTCCGAAGGTGCAGGGTTGAGTTCTACTGTTTCTGAACTTTGTTCCCTCTCGGCAGGGATTAGGGCTGGGACGACACTCCAGCGACATAATGCACGGGCACACGTAAGATGAAGTAAAAACAGACGCGGAAACCATTTCTGTCCCGTTGCATGGGCAGTGGACGAAGACTCCCGCAGCTCGCGGCTTCTGGCTGAGACACCCAGCTGGGCCTTGCGTCTGCCCAGACGTGGTGTCCCGACGCCCTGCAGCCGGGGACCACCAGGAACACACCCATGGTTCAGCAGGGTGGGCTCAGTCCTCTCCGCACTGAGGGAGAACACAGATCCGGGCCTCAGGGGTCTCAATAAGAGGGTGTCAGGAAGCACTCGGGGCTGGCGTTTTCTCTTTCAGTACCTCTTTAGGCCAAGGACCACTGACATCAGGCCACAGGACATTAACTCATGATATCAAGATTCTCCCCACTGCTGGGATTTTGTTGATTAAGCTCAAAAGAGAGCACTGAAGGTGTGTGCAGTTGAGGCAGGGTGCATCTTTCTTCTGCTGTGTGATGAGCAGTTGAACCATTGGACATGACAGGGGCTTTCAGTAGTATTTAAGACTGGGCAGGATCATTGGCTAATTGTAACACAGGCAATTGTCAGAAACAAAATGATGGTTATTCCTTGTAATGAGTCTTAAAGCCAAGAACCTAGATTTGAGACCAGACAATGAAAACAGGTGCAATGAAAACAGCTGGGTCTGTTTTAGAGAATTAGGTAGCTTTCTCCCCCCTCTACTCCTCCCTTTTTTTAAAATCCTAGTCACTGATTATTATTTTCTCTGTAGTATTTATATAGGTTTAGCAAGAAATATTTATTATAGCAAACATTTTCCCTTGGTTAGCTAAGAGGAAATCAAGGACTATGGAATATTCTGTGACAACTCCACTTAGTGGATTTAGACTTTTTTTTTTTTTTTTTTTTGGCTTTTAAAGCTGTGAAACAGAGTAAAGAAAACTTCATTTAAAATGGGGTCAGGAGGCCGGAAGGGGAAAACCCTCACACGCTACTACTACAGTCAGTTGGGGACCCAACAGGAAGAATTGTCAATTACCACCCCAGCAGGAGGAAAGAAGATTTCCTCCTTGACCGGCTGGTCAGCCAGTGAGAAGCCATCACCACCCTGAACTCCCGCTCTTCTCCAGTGAACTTTCCTTCAAACAACCCCTCCCCACTCCCTCCTTCTTCTCTATAAAGTAATGCTCCTCTCCTTTGTTTGCTGGGCTTGCCTGTGGTGTTGGCTGTAGCTTGCTCGTCCCAAGTTGCAATTCCTCTGTATTCCCAAATAAATTTATCTTGCTGGTAAAATAACTGGCTATTTCATTTGTTTAGGTCAACATCACATGGTGATCAGAAGTGGGACCCAGAGAAGACCGCCAACAACTCCGAGGCTGGAGAGCAAACAGGTGCTGGTACCCACAGAGCCCACTGGGGTCACTGGTTTCTTGCCGGCCCTGGAGTTTGAGGGCAGGTTTTCTCCTGGATCCAAGCTCCACTGTCTTTGCATTTCGAGCTCTCCAACTTTATTTGGGATCTGTTTGATAAAGGCTTCATCCTTTCTGTTTAAAGGGTTTGTCCTTTCTGTGAGTACCCATTTGTATAATTAGGCCTATTGGAAGTGTGCTAGCATTTGGTATGACTGCTTTGGAATTAGGCTGTTTAGGAATTTTTCTTTTGCTCTGGAGAAAAACCTCTGAGAAATGGGATTCCAGGCATCTAAATGCTTGGAGGCTCCCCCTTCAGGGACTCTGGCCAGTTTTACGTCCCAAAACTGCAGTTCATCCTCATGTGCATTTCTACCTAAATGTACCCACATAACCAAAAGTAATTCAGATGCAGAACTTTCTAAAAGACAAAGTGAATTCAAAAAGTGCCCTAAAAATTATCCTTATAGCATGCAAATTATAAAAACCTTTGGTTAGGGCCAGCCCTGTGGCTTAGCGGTTAAGTGCCCGTACTCCGCTACTGGCGGCCCGGGTTCAGATCCCGGGCGCGCACCAACACACCACTTCACCGGCCATGCTGAGGCCGCGTCCCACATACAGCAACTAAAAGGATGTGCGACTATGACATACAACTATCTACTGGGGCTTTGGGGGGGGGCAAGGACGAGGATTGGCAATACATGTTAGCTCAGGAGGATTAGCATGGATGTTGTTCACGGCTGATCTTCCTCACACACAAAAAAATAAATAAATAAAATAACCTTTCTATAAAAACCTTTGGTTAAAAAAGAAAACAAATAATACTTTGGCCATCAGAGCAGGTAACCTTAACTTAGTCCACCTGCCAGAAAATTGTTATGAGTTTTGTACCTGAGATATGGGTAAAACTTTAAACTAAGACAATAAGATCTTTGTGTCTATCTGTATGTTATGTATGTCCAAGTGTGTATGTTTTAGATATGTGATATTTTTCTACCCCTAGCTGGTATTGCCAGAATTAATTTGTAAAAGAGCTCTATTTAATTGACTTAAGGAAAATCAAATACTTATACTAAAAAATTATCAGGAATATAATAAAAACTAATGCAAATGCTTTTCAGGTTCATGTGATCTGGGAAAAGATTCGGGATTAAAGCTAGTTTAAGTTTGTTGGTTTAACTGAAACAGGCATGTCTTTAGTTATCCACATTAAATATAATATTGTTATTCTCCATTGCAAAATTTGTCAGCAAAAAAAAAGTTCACTTGAGATGATGTCTGATTTTGTTTCATGAAGTTTCTGTGAATAATCTAAATATAATTGTTGGGAACAATTTATTTAGATACATGAAAATGGGATAAGAGTTTTTAGGTGCAATAATTATGTTTTATGTTATATATGTGCTTAAAAATAGCACTCCAAATCTTTTTGGGTAACTTAAAACTTTAGAGTTTTGGTAAGTTAAATTAAATGATGGAATTTCATTGACTATCTGAATCATTCTCCAAACAAGGTAAAATACTAAAACATTAATTACTGAACATAGGTCTACTTCTGGCTTCCTCTTGTAGAGAAACCAAAGATAAATTTGGTTCTGTTAGTAACCATGTCTTGTGCCACACTGAAAGATTATACTACTTAAAGGGGCATGTTTCTAGAAATTATGAAATGTATTTATAAATTTGCTAGTCCACAATTGCTTACTTCTTAGTTTTCACTAGGAATCAAGGATTCTAAGGCCTAAGAATTCTTTTTTGTTTCTTGTGAGGAAGATTAGCCCCGAGCTAACATCTGTCACCAATCCTCCTCTTTTTGCTGAGGAAGACTGGCCCTGGGCTAACATCTGTGCCCATCTTCCTCCATTTTATATGGGACGCCACCACAGCATGGCCTGACAAGCAGTGCATCAGTGCGTGCCTGGGATCTGAACCCCGGGCCTCCACAGCGGAGTGCGAGCACTTTAACTGCTATGCCACTGGGCCGGCCCAAGAATTCTAATTAACATATGTGATTAAAGCTACTAGGAATGGTAAGGGAAACATCCCCATATGCAAAAAAAGTAGGATGTGTGTTTTTGGTTAGAAAAAGGTATGAGGTATGGAGATATATTTTTGTTGAAGAAAAAGAAAGTAATTTTGTCCTAAAGTAAAATAGTTGTCAGAATAAGAAAGGAAAGGATAGGACAAAATTTGAATGTAAAAATAAAATTATAGGTTTGTGAAACAGGAATCTTTGGAAAGAAATTTTATATGCCATCAAGCTGGATAAGATTAAATAAAATTGCTATCAGGGTTTTAAAATAAGCTTTAATATCAACAGTGTACTTATGTAAAATTATAACTTAATTTTCTTTACTGATAAAAGGACAAAGTTTGCTTGGGCTATTGGTATGCTCCTGATAAGAGATTGTGAAAGGTTTCCCCTTACCTTTTTGTGTTTTATCAAAATTATTTCCTGTGCTTTATGTTAAAAGCTGAGTCTTTTCTATTAAAAAGAGCTAAGGTTTTTGCAGCTATGTAACTTTCTATATTTGTCTTTGAAATCTTCTGTCACTTTGATTAGATGGATAATTAAGTATTGTTTCATAATTTTCTGTGATCCTATTTTGGTCAAATGTCCAAAACTTTTTGATATTTTTGACAAACTTCCCCCTTAAAAAAATCAAATTCTAAATAAAATCTTTTTAACCTGAAAGTAAGTTTGGGAATTTCCAGAAGTCCCCTGAGACTTCTCAAAGGACTTATTCTCTCCTTATTAAAATAAAAGATGGGCCGGCTCTGTGGCTTGGCGGTTAAGTGCGCGCGCTCTGATGCTGGCGACCCGGGTTCGGATCCCGGGAGCGCCCCGAGGCACCACTTCTCCCTCCAACACGAGGCCGGGTCCCACGTACAGCAACTAGAAGGATGTGAACCTATGACATACAACTGTCTACTGGGGCTTTGGGGGGAAAAAACTGAATAAATAAAATCTTTAAAAAAAATAAATAAAATAAAAGAGATGTTAAACTAATTAGGCTTATTTGATATGTCAAATTACCTGGGAAGCATTGTCATATAAATGATGATAAACCTTAGGTTATATTACATAGGTGAAGGTTATTAAAATCAATGTTTAGAGATTGTATGAAAATTTCTAAAATTGTTATGTTCTGGTATAATGTTATCAGTCATAATTTTAAGATGTATGTCACAGAAATAACCAAATTTACTTGTCAATTACACTATAATGAACCTTCATCAGACCTTTGTTGATATTTTTAAGTCTTTTGTCATTTACTGACAGTTATTGCTTTACTCTGGTGCTTTTGCAAATATTTCTCATCTTCAGAGAAATTCAGGGAAAAGACCCTGACCAATACTCTAGAATGCAGGTATCTGATAACTTTAAGATCATCACACTGAACTAGATTTAAAGGATCCCTTTTCTCCTCTCCCTTGAGAAAA